GATTGAGGCAACGTAGGAGTTTGAAATTGATACCCTAGGTGTAGCTATTAAAAATCTGAATGTTTGAATCCCTGTGACCTTAACATCAGATTTTCTGAAAATCTTGTAAATGTTATAAATCAAGAAAGAAGTCACCTGGGGTTTTCAAATACATGCATAGGTGAATTTGTTAATAATATTTTAAGACTTTGAAACCCCGTGGCCTCAACATTAAGGTCAGAGGTCAGCTATTATGAAAAGACCTAGGATTTTCAAGTTTTTAGAAAAATGTTACCTTTACAACCTTCCGAGCTATTCGATTGGATAAGGTGCTATACACTACTGGGTGTTCTTAAAAAAACAAAAAAAACAAAACCTATTGGTTTTACAATACTAATTTCAGGTTTTTTTTTTAAACAATTTTTTTTATTGACAATTATGCAGTTTAAGGTCTCATTGCCGTCTGAAATGAAAGCATAGTAGAAACAAACAATTGGAGTCAAAAAAGAAATCAAGGAATAAATTATTAGACCCAAATGTATTCTAAATTTTTGACTCATCAAAGTAGCCACTTTTGGGAGATATAACAGCTGAACACACCCATTGCGTTCTTTCTAGAGATGGACCGATCCGATATTGCGTATCGGTACCTAAATTACTGGATATCGGATATCGGAGAGAAATAAAAATGTAATCCGATCCATTAAATATCACAAAAGCACCTCAGAAAGCTTGCGACATGGCGTAACTCATCGGAGCAGTATGCGTCACGTGATAGAGCGGCTGTGGCATTTGAGACCTGTCGGTGGTCAGGTTGAGCATTTGGAGCCTCGCTACCAAACCGGCATTTCATCTCCGAGAAAGTTATCCCAGAGAGAAGTAAAGCAAGTGTGTAAGTTCATCTCTGGATGTTTGTAAAGCATTCCCACGTTAAGCTTAACAAACAAAATATGGAGTGACTGCCTCTCTTCAATCATGAAACTGATCAATAATCAGCTGATCGGCTTTTCTGTCGTGAGTTCGTCTCTCTTGTAAGTTTATCGCCCACTTTGTACCAGAAAGAGGAAACCAGCACCAGGATCCTTTTCTACTGTGCAGGGGCGGGTCTAGCAAAGTTTAGCCGGGGCATTAACAGGGAAAGGGGGGCACAAAGAAATACTTTTCTTTCTTATTCTCATTTAAAATGTCTCGCTTTAATAAATAATTATCTGAATCTTACAACCAAAGTTTTAATCTGATGTAAAATGTATAGAAGTCCATTACTGTATATAGTAACTAATAAGTCTAATATACCCTAGTAAGCTAGTACTTTTTCCTTCAGAAATGTACCATCTGTGCAGTCTGCAATTCTGTTGAAGTAAGATGTTGAAGCTATTTAATTATTGTGGAAAAAGAATTGATTTCTGAGCTTTTTTTTTTATTTTAATTTTTTTATGCGCGAGTTAAATTAAAGTTGATTATGTTGATTAAGCATCACGAGACGGAGGGTGCTTAATATTTCTGAGTACTCTTTAAAATACCAGAATAGGGAGGTTGGTGCAGGTTTAAGTGTATTAGATTGATCAGTTTTGCTGAACTATGAAATATTTGGGGTGCAGTGTATGTTTTGCATACAGGTTTAACAGAATAGCTTTAGTTAAAACTTGAGTATGAACTTATACAAAATGCAGCAAGATATTAAAAAAATAGTTTTATTGATTAAGAAATACACTATCGGATTTATATCGGTATAGTTAGATATTCAAATTTATGATATCGGTATCGGACATAAAAAAAATAAAAAATAAGTGGTATCGTCCCATAAATGTGTGGCACTTGTAGGTTGCTTTGCTTTCACCCTTTTGTCCAGTTCATCCCAAACCAGCTTGATGGGGTTTAAGTCTGGAGGCTGTGCTGGCCACTCCATGTTTTCAAGCTTACAACCTTGTTCGTTCTCCTGAGGTACTTCTAGCGTAGCTTAGAACTATGTTTTGGGTCATTATCTTGCTGTAGGATGAACCCCTGACCAACTAGGCGCATACCAGAGGGTACTGCATGGTGCTGCAGAATGCTGTGGTAGCTGTTTTGGTTCTGGATGCAAAAAGTCCCAGACCTTCACACTTCCTCCATGTTTGACAGTTGATGCCACCACTGTGGAACGATCCTTGCACCTACTTAATGGTGTACAAAGATCCTGTGTGATGAAGCCAAGATTTCAAATGCATTTTCATCAATCCATTATACTTTCTTCCAGTCTTCAGTAGTCCAATGGCAGTGTTTCATGGTCCAGCCAAGCCTCTTTGTCTTATTCTGAAATCTCAGCAATGGCTTTCTTGCTGCAATTGGTCCTGTCAAACGTGCAGCTTGAAGTCTTCTCTTCACAGTTGCAACTGAGACTTAATTACTACGACCACTATTAAGCTGTGTTTGAAGCTGATGTCCTTTGAGCAGCCTATCAGCTGTTAATACTCAGAAACTTGTCCTCTGATTCAGTTGTGGCTTTGGGTCTGCTAGACCTCTTTCTGCCAGTTTTTCTCCAGTTTCTGAGTGCCTTTTGATGGTAAAGGAAACTGTACACACTGACATTTTGACTTTCCTTGCAACTTCTCTGCAGGAAAGACCTACATTTTTAAGTGTTATGATGGTCTGTCCCTCTTCCATTGTTAATTGCCTTTTTCTCACCATTTTTGTAGAAACACAGTACTTTCTGCAGCACAAAAGTGTTCAGCTGATGCTCACGAGGGTATGGTATCACAGTGTGTTCCAACACTGCTTTTATGCAGACAGGATAGTTGTAACTAATCCAGAAAAGTTGGAACACCTCTAGCTTTCAAGGCCTGATCAACCTCCACTGCTGTAGAACAGCTTTAAATTATTAACCCATTTTGTGTTCCCTGAAAAAGGCCTTTTTGTAGAACTCTGAAATGGACATTATTTTTCTTTTATCTTTTTTTTTTTTTTTTTTTTTTTTTTTTTTTTTTTTTTTTTTAAACCTTTGGCAGTTCAACACTTTTGTACCATTTCAACCTGTTCATTGGACTTGAACAACATAAATTGCAGTAAATAACAGAGAAATTTGGGTGTTCTAAACTTTTGACCAGTAATGTATTTCAAACACATAATTGACAGAGACCAACAGATATTGAAACTACACCATGGTCTGGTTGTCTTGTATACCCTAGATTTAATTTTTTGTATGACATTTGGACAAAAGGGTCCAAATGTCATAATACAGTAATCTCACTTCATTTCTCTCAGATGTCCTCCAAAAGTATTTTATTTTGACCATCTTAATTGCACTATAGTGGTCCCTCGTTTATCGCGGCAGTTACATTATAGGTGAAATCTGCGAAGTAGCCAACTTTATTTTTACAATTATTATAGATGTTTTAAGGCTGTAAAACCCCTCACTACACACTTTATACACTTTTCTCAGACAGGCATGAACATTTTCACACTTTTCTCTCTTGTTTAAACACTCTCAAAGTTCAAACCTTTGTAGAAAAATAAGTCCAGTATTATAGAATGAAACCAACGGCCCCTGCAGGTGCCTTTGACAGTGCAAAACATTTCATTGATATTATGTTTGTAAGTTTTCTCCACAGCAAACAAAGTACAGCACTTTAGTCACACTGCTATGAAATTGAATATTTATGTAAATTTGACAAGTTTTCACCAGCAGGTGGCAGCACATTACTGGAAAGTCTTAATGTAATGTAGCTACCAACCCCTCTCTTCAAGTAGAGAAAAAGTCACCATTTGCCCTGCCTTAAGCAAATCACATACAGGAATTGTTTTTGTATGAAAAGTTTCTCACAAAAAGCTACCTTAGCAAACATATATGAACTGGTAGAAACAGGAAGCAGTCTCATTAAAAAAAAGAAAAAAAACAACAACAACAAACCCTGTAAAGCTGCTCTGAAAGCTGCTCCAGTGTTATTTTCTCCTGAACGGAGCATGGTGTTCTGGCGGATCTAGTGGTGACGATGGGGCCACCAACCTGTCCCTTTGACTAGAAGGCCAGTACTTCCTCTGACTCTCCATCATATTTCCTACATCTTTCAGGGCAGAGAGCATGCTACATTGAGTCACTGCACCATTTTATGGCACAAAGTGGTATTACATGAAAGTACTGCTGGGCCCTATTTCAGCTTCAGCTTATATATCCTCTTTAAGTGTTTTGGGCAGTAAGATTCACTGGTTACTTCTCGGGATTTTGTTCATATTCTGTAGCTATAGTTCATGTTGAAAGTAAAACAGAGTAATTTATCAAGTTTGAACCAATAAGAAAAGCTTGAGATATCTTCCTGTTTACTGCAGCTGCTCCACGGGATGGTGGTGGATACATCGGTAGTCTTTCCTCACCGCCTGGGCCCTCCTCACAAACTGACCCTCAACAAGCTCACAGCTGAATACCTCAGAAGGATCATTCAAGAGAGTGGTGGGTTACCACTATGCAAATGGTTTATCTGTTACTATAATATCATTACATTCCAAATAAAGATGACTTATTAATATGACTTATAACATTAAATGCCACAGACTCATGCAGCAGATATCAGATTTATTGCTGAAGATACTGACTTCAGTTGAATAAGCTTTTTTTTTTTTTTTTTTTTTCTCCCTCCCCCCTTAGTTTGTGGCCATGACACTGCAGAAGATGCTACTGCCTGTATGGAGCTGATGCTGTGGAAAGTCAAAGAAGATGGAAAATTGAAAAAATGATGGAAATAAAATTATTCCTGTACACTTCATGTGGGGGGAGGGGGGACAAATACTAGCTGTGATTCAAATGTATTATTTTGTGTAAACCTCGTTCAGGACACGGAGGGCAGTTTGGTTTTTTGTTAGTGTGATTTATGTTAATGAGTTCTGTATGTAAAATTTCAATTTGGAGCCCATCTTCCATATATGTATAAATGTTGACCACATGTAGTGCCAAGAGGACCCACAGTGGTGACTTTTCATGAGCAGTACTCAAGTAAAGGCATAGAATGAATTTTGTGTTTTCCTTTCTTAAAAAAGCAAAACTCAACAGCCAATCAGCATTCTGTTTTTAATGTGAGATTAACTTCAGGTACACTTCTGCAAATCATTGCACCTGTCTTCAGTTAAAGCAATCAGTGGTGATGCATAAAGAATAAGATGGTGGGAAACTCAACATACATGAAAGAAAGTCTCATGTAGGTAACGAATATTGCCCCGGCACAACACTCTCAGCACCTTTTTTCAGTTGTTATTCAGCCTTCCTTTTGGTCTTTCCTCTCCTGACACAGCAGATGTGCAAACAGAAACTGCAGGTCTTGATGAAGATGAATATGAGGAGTAGAACTATGGTGAAGAAGAAGCCCAGGACATCCAGGCTGAGATATTGGTACCAGGTGAGCTCATGGGCCTGGACCCTCAAGTGCTTGGCCCCTTTGTTTCTCAGTGTGAACTCGATCCAGAATACTGCCTCTTCCAGGGGACTCATGGGTCTGTCGTGGTGGATGCTGGCCAACCGCATAGCATTTTCTTTGTACCTGTGAATGTGTATATAAATGAGAAAAAAATTGTAAAAATGAATATCATTCATTATGGGGCGATCGTGCCTCAAGAGTTGGGCGTTCGCCTAGTAATTGGAAGGTTGCCGGTTTAAGCCCCGGCTTGGACAGTCTCGGTCGTTGTGTCCTTGGGCAAGACACTTCACCCGTTGCCTACTGGTGGTGGTCAGAGGCGCCAGTGTTCGGCAGCCTCGCCTCTGTCAGTGCCCCCCAGGGTGGCTGTGGCTACAATGCAGCTTGCCATCACCAGTGTGTGAATGGATGTGTAAAGCGCTATACAAATACAGGCCATTTACCATTTCTTTGCTTTTTCATTAATGAAAAAGCCATAAAACTCCAGACCATAAAAACTCCAGAAATTTGTATACAGAGGTCATTAAAGTTCTTCTCTCACCCCACCCGGTCGCAGCAGATGGCCGCCCCTCCCTGGGCCTGGTTCTGCCAGAGGGTTCTTCCTGTTAAAAGGGAGTTTTTCCTTCCCACTGTTGCCAAAGTGCTTGCTCATAGGGGGTCATATGATTGTTGTTTTTTTCTCTGTATCTATTATGGTACAATCTATTGTACAATATAAAGCGCCTTGAGGCGACTGCTGTTGTGACTTGGCGCTATGTAAATAAAATTGAATTGAAAGTTCAGCTCAGCGGGGCTTTCTTGTGTTAGCTGGCTTCAAGAAAAAATGGTTTAAGGTAGATTCTTCACGTTTCATACTCTGAGCCTGCTACATTTTTTTCCCTTTAAAGCCTGTTTTCAGTGCCTAATTTAAAGTGCAGATAGTTCAGAGAACTCACGATTTGTCATTAATGACGGTGTTGACTGCATCTCTTAGGTCCTCAGCTGTCATGAAGTTCAAATTGAGAATAACTGCTGTTCCTTTTTCCTTCATGTGGATCATGTTGTCTGGCTGGTCACTGAACACGGGTATGCCCACCATGGGAACTCCGTGGTAGATGGCTTCATAAATCCCATTTGTGCCTCCGTGAGTGATGAAAGCTCTAGTTTTAGGGTGACCTAACACATGCCAAATAACCGTGTGACATTGAAAGTTAGTTTTTCACATGTGAAAAAAAGGAGAATTTCAAGAACCTGGAAAAAGTTTTTTGAGCCAAGATTGATTTGCACGTTCTAATACCTCTGTGCATTCAACTAATCTTTAGTGAAACCTCTTGGAGAAAAAGAATTAGCCAGGGTAGATTTGCACAGGGTAATGTAATCAAGATCACATCTGCTAGAAAAGTATATAATATAATTTCCTTTTGTTAATAAACAGAATGCTAACAACCTGCATTTAATGTTGAATGCATGTTTAATTTATGTCATTGCAGATTTAAGAAAGTCTGTGTTTGGTACCACGTTTACGTACCTAGGAGGTCATTCTGAGGGATCCAGTCATATATTCTAGTGTTGGCACTCAAGGTTTCTGGTTTTTCTCCTTTGTACCTCCACAGCACCTGTAAAAGTAACATTTCTTACTTTACATTTTTTCTTTTGTAGTATACTCACAGCCCAGTATATTTAAGTAATATATCACAACGTATTATAGAAAAACTAGAGAATGTGTAAATATCCCTGAATGCCTTTCCTTGCACCTTATTTTGGCACTCATTGCTGTCTTCTACTACTAACTTCCTGTTCGGGTGTAGAAGCTTTTATTTTGATGGGACAATTTCCTGTAAAACTGTTTTTGGCGCAGTTTTCAGCGGTAGTCACGGGAGTTTTGAAATGTGATGGCTTAACGGAGCCTATGGAGATTTCTTTTGTCATTAGCAGCCCCCTTGATAGAGGCACAAGGTATGGTTATGATATAAATGAGGACACGTTTAGATGTTTTTGTGACAGTCGCTACATTTGTTAAATGTTACGTTGAAACGAACTTCATGTTATAAGGTTTACGATTGTAAGAGTGTGGATTATTTTGCTTACACGCTGTTTCTATGTATACATCCCCAGCTCTTACGGTGAGATTGATGGTTTACTGCCATTAAACCTTCAAAACGTCATCAGTAAAGTGTCATCCTTCATTCGGGGGGGTTCGCTACAGAATGCATTTCCTGAAGAAAATGCAGTGTGAATGCTGATAGTTGAATGTTTTGAGCTGGATTGTGATGATTCCTGAATGTTAAGTAAAAAATGCTGAATGAGCTGAAGAAGAGAATTTTTCACCTGAAAATAAAAGTGCTAAACAGTTGAAAGCTGACACAGAAGAAGTTTCAAAATTGAAAGGTAGCTCAACATGTTTAAATACACATTAGAAAAAGCTGAGTAATGACAAAAGAAAATTTAGAGTCAGAAAACATCTGAATGAATATTGAAATCTGATATTCTTTAAATGACTTGGAAGTACATATGTGAAATGTCAAAAAAAAATTGAGTCAGAACAAATCTAGATGAGTGTTGACAGCTTATATTCCTTAAAAAGTAGAAGAGTGGAATTATGTATTTTAAATGTCTAAAATCAAGAATCACAAATGTGAAAAAATGTTTCTGCATCTGTGCACATATCTGTCTCTGTGTTCGTGTGTGTCTGTGTGCGTTTATGCACGTGTGTCAAAGTAATAACAGAGATATTAAATTAGGTTAGATGAGTTTAATTGTGGGTGAATCCACTACAGACAGGTAAATAGTTTCATGTCTGATCATCCAGTCAGAAAAGATGATTCTAAACTCGATCAACTGACTCCAACTGCCCAGATTTGAACCACCTGTTTGCTGTAAAGAAATCCTCCAATGAACAACAAGCTTGGATTTAACAGGCCAATCAGAATGCTCTATCCAGTTGGCCTGCACTAACTACTGGAATACTATTACTCTATAGCAAAACTAAGTCAAATCTCCCTGACCGCACCTGTTGAAAAACTGCTTCTAAATCCAAAACCGTAACTCCTATCAAAAAGACCCTTTGAACCGTGAGGACATGTCTACACAACAGTGTGTTTTTATGTTCCTGGTGTCAAAAATGGGTTCACAGGAGCAATTTAAAAAGTGGGGTCATTCCTGCTGTTGATACAAATTTCTGACAGACTGATTAATTTCTTACTTTGGACAGAAAAGCCCACAAATAGTAACTGAAAGTCGCTGCAGTAAAGGCCTGACAGAGCATTAAAAAGGAGGTAACCCACTATCTTGTGATTTTCTTGACTTCAAGACTTCAGGCTGTCATTGCCAGCAAATGGTTTTCAAACAGGTATTAGAAATGAACATTTTATTTTCATTTTTATTCAATGTAATTTGTCCAATTACTTTTGAGCCCCTGAAATGAAGGGATTGTGTGTTTTCTTTTTTCTTTTCTTTTTTTTAATGCTTTAGTTCCTCACATTTTCATACAAGGTATTTGCATTAAAGCTGAAAGTCTGCACTACAATGGCATCCGAGTTATATCATTTAAAATTACAAAAGCCAAATTAGAAAAAAGATGTCTCTGTCCAAATATTAATAGACCTAACTGTATATTGAAGCGTGAGGTTAATATGTCATTAGAAATCATCAGCTGTTGACAAAGTCAGATTTTTCACACTCTGTATTAGGAAAACAAACATAAATATTGTGGAAATAACATGGAAACTGGGCACTTGCACGTTGAAATGTCCACAGTCTGCAATGTAATTTTAAAAAACTAGTTTTTGTAGTTCTGGTAGTCAGAGGTAGAGCACTCTGAAACTGGTTATCTGAATCATGTAAAACTACTCCATGCTTTGCACAACTTTATTACAGCTGAAACAAAGATTATCCTCTGACCTTTTGTGGGATCTGAGCGAGGCCTGAGGCTATCATGTTTGCCTTCTCCTTGGTGATGTTGTTGATCAGGGATCCTGTTAGGTTTTGTATTGTTGAGTAACACAAAGAACTTTGTCTACTTGGTGTTCAATGCTTTTGCTGTGTAATTATATTGTCTTCAACGTTCCAGCGAATAGGTTCAAGCTACAAACCTATCAAGATCCTAAAGTGAAGATCACAATGCAATCTTCTCCAGAACTCTGCACAAATTCCTCCAGATCCTGTAACAAGTCAAATATTATCCCACCACCAGCCAACCAGCTGTTTTCTCATTTTTGTTCAACATTTTGATGGTATTCACTGCTCCTGGCAGGAATATTCTGTGATGTAATGATTAATCAGATGGTAATAGTTGAGTGTCCTTACCTCTGGTAAAGGTTTAGCAGGTCTGCAGTGGATCCCACCAACATATTTGAAGTTGGGGAGGAAAGGACGAGGGAATTCAAAATCCCAGTAGGTTCGGATTAACCAGATGTCTGCTTTACTCATCAACTCACAGGCACTGGTGGGAGTTCCTTTGCAGTGCATAAGTAAAGGACATTAACATATCACCAATAGTTTATGTACCTTACAGGTACCTTGGTGTTCATCTGAACAATAGACTGGACTGGACTCATAACTCAGACGCCCTCTACAGGAAAGGGCAGAGCAGGCTGTACCTGCTGCGGAGACTCAGGTCGTTTGGAGTGGAGGGCCCACTCCTGAAGACCTTCTATGACTCTGTTGTGGCTTCTGCTATCTTTTATGGTGTGGTCTGCTGGGGCGGCAGCATCTCTGCTGGGGACAGGAAGAGACTGAACAGGGTGATCCGAAGGGCCAGCTCTGTTCTAGGATGCCCTCTGGACCCAGTGGAGGTGGTGAGTGACAGGAGAACGGCGGCTAAGCTGTCATCCCTGTTGGACAACATCTCCCACCCCATGCAGCAGACTGTGACAGCACTGAGCAGCTCCTTCAGTGGGAGACTGCGGCACCCACGGTGTGGGACGGAGAGATTTCGCAGGTCTTTCCTCCCCACTGCTGTCAGACTCCATAATAAAAACTTTAACTGATCAAGCACACACATCCATACATATGCAATAATACTAAGTGCAATAATCCTTTCTGTCATCGTTGTATTTTTACTCAGTTGTATATAGTATTTGTATTGTCTATTTTTATCTTATTGTATATTTATTTTATTTTATTCTACTGTATATAGTATTTTATTCTATTCTGTACAGTTGTGTACTGTATTTATTCTTATTGTATCCTAATTTTTGCCTCATAACTTTTGCACTGTCCACTTCCTGCTGTGACAAAACAAATTTCCCACGTGTGGGACTAATAAAGGTTATCTTATCTTATCTTATCTTATCTTATCTTATCTTATCTTATCTTATCTTATCTTATCTTATCTTATCTTATCTTATCAGATTATCTTTCTTAATCAGAAAATTTTAAAACACTGTGTTTACATTATTAGCAAATTTTAAATATTTTTTTAAATCAGTGCTTCACGCCTATTTGCTCACCTTTGACATCAGAGTAATATCTGTTTAATACGTTCCAAAAAGTGTGATCAATCACAATGTCGTGGAGAGCGTAGAAGAGAAAGTTCCACACTCTCTCTGAGAAGTCCATCTTATCTGTGAGTTTGCTCATGGCACCGGGAACAAAGGATGGTGGAGCAGGCATCTGACCACAATGCCTCTCCCAGTTATTAACTGGGGAGCTGCGAAAGGACAAGACGAGTGGGATCCCCAAAATATCTGCTACTAAGTCACTGCCAGCTTTGACGGGGTCCGCCAAGAGAAGATCGTAATTTCCCTCTTTCAACTTCTTCATGATGACTTCTGATTTCACCACACCGTCCAAATACTGAAAAGAAATCTGAATGTGTGTGTTCACATATTTAACGGATCTGGTGAAGATCTCCCAGTAGTTCATATAATCCAACTCGTATAATACGAATTGGAGGAGCTCTTCCAAAAAATCTTCTATAGTCTCCAATGAGAAAGAGGCGTTGAAGGGCTCATAGTGAAAGCGGGCAGGTTCATTGGTTTTCATGTACATTGATGAGCTCGGGACCAGTACAGTTACCTGGTGTCCTCTGTCAACCAGCGTCTCTAGAACAGGCTTCATGTTTATCCAGTGGCTGCCATCAGTGTACCACACCAAAATATTTCCTCCATTTGCACACGATGTTGCACAAAGTACCAGCAGGATGCAGGCAGAGAGACGCAGATCCATGGTGTCTGAATGTCAGCAGGAAAACTACCCGTGGTCTGATTCTTTGGTGAAAGTATATCAGGAAAGATAATTATTAATTCAATAAATCTGAACTCTGACTCATATCTGTCTGTGCTATCACAATGGGTTAAAAGGTAGTCACAGTAAAGTTGACTGTACTGAGAAACAAGACTGATTTCTAACCTAGTACCCTAGGGTGGCTGCGGATGACCCAGGTCTTTCTCTGTCTGCCTCTGGTTCCGGGAGGCATTATTAATTAAGTATAATATTAAGTATATCTTGTGACACATGCACAACACAGCAGGATTGTTGATGTGTGTAGGATTGCTGTATGACACTTCAGCTCACCTCATTATATACTCTACCTTTAACTCTTGTGCCCATGGGCTTTATGTCAGAACTTGTTGGTGTGGAAAAAGATGTCTGAAGTTTGATTTTTGTTTTAATCAGTTTGCAATGAAAACATATGTTTACCTTTGTAGTTTTAAACCATTCATGGTTTGGAGTTATCCAGAGTAACGGTCAACTCGAGTCAGCTAATTCTATATGACACCTTGGATTAAACCTGAAAATGATGTCATTGACTATAGCACCAGGTAATGTGATAATATACCCCTCATCTTTCTCTGTGCACTACATAAACTATACCAACTCGCTCTGTCACTACAGAAGTGTGGCAGAAGTCTGAAAATTTTTCTGTCTATTGAAAATTTGGTCAACACCAAGTGCAAGGTTTAGTCAGTATTTCAAAGATGGTAAGGTTTTGCTTTATAACGCATATTATGCAGCTCTGCTTAGAACCCGTGTGACAACTTACTTGGCCAGATTTTCAGGTGTTAGTGAGGAGGGTGTGAAGGGTCACCATGGTTCTCTAAGAGATGTCCAGGAGATGCTGTTGGGCTTCAGAAATGCTGACACAATTCTAATTGGACACTGCCTGGAAACAGACCTCTGTTTACTCAAGGTGACTTCTTGACTTCCTTTTTTAAAAATGTATTCTTTTTTCTTTTTAAGTTTTTCACAGCTTATTTCACATCTTCCAGTTGCAGTCCTCAGTAGACTTTAATGTGCAAATAATTAACACAAAATCATCTGGATGTCTGTTTTGAACCAGAACCATGGAAGGCGTTTGTAAAATGAAGTACAAAACATCTGATTGGTTGTGAACATACCATTTGGGACCTTTTTGTTTTTTGTTACACTTATTTTTTTAAATGTTATGTTTTCTATTTATCATATACTCAAAGTATTCAACAGGATTCGCCTAGAAATTTTGCAGCTTATACAAGTTCACGGCAACGGGTATTGAATCCCAATAATCAGACCCCTATGAGCAGCACATGGGGACTGCAAGGACTTCCTTTGTCTTTTTAGATTAATCAATGAAAGATTTTTAAAACACGCATTTTTACCCCAGTGCCCTCAGCATTAAGGTCAGAGGTCAGCTGTTGTGAAAATACAAAAATGTTAGCTATACAAACTTCTGAGGCATTCGATTTGATGAGATACTATACACCACTGTGTCTTCTTAAAAAACTACCAGTTTTAGAACACCCCAATTATTCCAGTTTTCTATTGAAAATCATGCTGTTTAATGTCACATTGCAGTCTGAAATGAAAGCATAGTAGAAACAAACAATTGAAGTCAAAAAAGAGATCAAGGGAAACCTTTCTTCCTTTTTTTTTTAACCTTTGGCAGTTCAACACTTACCTTTGTACCATTTCAACCTATTCATTGGATTTGAATTACATAAATTGGAATAAATAGCTGGACAATTGAGGTGTTTCAAAACTTTTGATGGGTAGTGTCCCATATAGAAAAGATATATATAAATCTTATAAAGTTTGTATCTGTCTTGTGTGAAACTTGTATGAAAAGCATACAAGAGTGAAAACAGATATAAGATGCCTTGAAAAATTATATAAATGAAACTTGTATGTTTTGGATACTTACTAAACCAATATAACATATAAATCATATACGTTTTTACTATTTCTTTTCCATATGGTGTATTTCAAACACATAGTTGACAGAGACCAACAGATATTGAAAATTCGTCATGGTCTGCTTGTCTTGTCTTGTATACCCTGAATTTAATTTGTCATAAGTCATTTTTGGACAAAAGGGTTGAAATGTCATGATACAGTAATCTCACTTTATTTCTCTCTGATGTCCTCTAAAAGTATTTTATTTTTTCCATCTTAATTATACTATTTGTAATTACCTGAACCAAATTTTTATCTAAAGCTTTTACCACCAGGTGGCAGCACATTACCGTAAAGTCTCAGTGTAATGTAACTACCAATCCCTGTCTTGAAGTAGAAATAAAAAGTCACTATTTGCTGTGACCTAATTAAGCAAATCACATACAGCAATTGTTTTGTATATAAAGTCTCTCACAAAAAGCTACCTTAGAAAACATATATGAACAGTTATTAACAGGTAGCAGTCAAAAAAGATCTATTATTCAAGGATCATTGATTCATTTTATTCTTGAAGAGCTGTGTGCAGTGATGGAAAGCTGCTCCAGTGTTATTTTCTCCTGAACTGAACATGGTGTCGTTCTGGGAGGATCTAGTGGTGATGACGGGGCCACCATCAAGGTGTTTCATCCACTGTTTGCTGTCCCTTTGAATAGAAGGCCAGTACTTCTTCTGACTCTCCATTATATTTCCTACACCTTTCAGGGCAGAGAGCATGCTACATTGAGTCACTCACCAATAAAAGATTATTTTTATACCCCTTAGTTTGTGGCCATGACACTGCAGAAGATGCTACTGCCTGTATGGAGCTGATGCTGTGGAAAGTTAAAGAAGATGGAAAATTGAAAAAATGATGGAAATAAAATTATTCCTGTACAGTTCATGTGGGGGGAGGGGGGACAAATACTAGCTGTGATTCAAATGTATTATTTTGTGTAAACCTCGTTCAGGACACGGAGGGCAGTTTGGTTTTTGTTAATATAAATGGCCTGTATTTGTATAGTGCTTTACTAGTCCCTAAGGACCCCAAAGCGCTTTACACATCCAGTCATCCACCCCTTCACGCACACATTCACACACTGGTGATGGCAAACTACATTGTAGCCACAGCCACCCTGGGGCGCACTGACAAGGGCGAGGCTGCCGGACATTGGCGACACCGGGCCCTCTGACCACCACCAGTAGGCAACGGGTGAAGCGTCTTGCCCAAAGACACAACAACCAAAACTGTCCCAGCCAGGGCTCGAACCGGCAACCTTCCAATTACAAGATGACCTCCCAACTCTTGAGCCACAATCACATTAACATTTATGTTAATGAGTTCTGTATGTTAAAGTTCAATTTGGAGCCCATCTTCCATATATGTATAAATGTTGACCACATGTAGTGCCAAGAGGACCCACAGTGGTGACTTTTCATGAGCAGTACTTAAGTAAAGGCATAGAATGAATTTTGTGTTTTCCTTTCTTAAAAAAGCAAAACTCAACAGCCAATCAGCATTCTGTTTTTAATGTGAGATTAACTTCAGGTACACTTCTGCAAATCGTTACACCTGTCTTCAGTTAAAGCAATCAGTGGTGATGCATAAAGAATAAGATGGTGGGAAACTCAACATACATGAAAGAAAGTCTCATGTAGGTAACGAATATTGCCCCGGCACAACACACTCAGCACCTTTTTCAGTTGTTATTCAGCTTTCCTTTTGGTCTTTCCTCTCCTGACACAGCACCTGTGCAGACAGAAACTGCAGGTCTTTATGAAGATGAATATGAGGAGTAGAGCTATAGTGAGGATGAAGTCCAGGACATCCAGGCTGTGATACTGGTACCAGGTGAGCTCATGGGCCTGGACCCTCAAATGCTTGGCCCCTTTGTTTTTCAGTGTGAACTCAATCCAGAATACTGCCTCTTCCAAAGCACTCATGGGTCTGTCGTGGTGGATGCTGGCCAACCGCATAGCATTTTCTTTGTACCTGTGAATGTGTATATAAATGAGAGAAAAAAAAATTGTAAAAATGAATATCATGCAGTATTAATCAAAAAGCTATGAGACCATAAAAAATTGTTTACACAGGTCATTAAAGTTCAGCTCAGCAAGGCTTTCTTGTGTTAGCTGGCTCCAAGAAAAAGGGGTTCAAGGTAAATTCTTCACGTTTCATACTCTGACCCTGCTACATTTTTTTCCCTTTAAAGCCTGTTTCCAGTGCCTAATTTAAAGTGCAGATAGTTCAGAGAACTCACGATTTATCATCGATGACTGTGTTGACTGCATCTCTTAGATCCTCAGCTGTCACGTAGTTCAAATTGAGAATAACTGCAGCTCCTTTTTCCTTCATATGGATCATGTTGTCTGGCTGATCAAGAAACATGGGTATGCCCACCATGGGTACTCCGTGGTAGATGGCTTCATAAATCCCATTTGTGCCTCCATGAGTGATGAAAGCTCTAGCTTTAGGGTGACCTAACACATGCCAAATAACCATGTGACATTGAAAGTTAGTTTTTCACGTGAACAACAGGAGAATTTCAATAACCCGGCATAAGTGCTGAGTTGAAATTGATTTGCACGTTCTAATACTTATGTGCATTCAACTAATCTTTTAGTGCAACAGATTAGATTTGCACAGGGTGCAATACTATCAATCAAGATCAAATCTGTTAGAAAAGTATAATTGATCAATTTTTCCTTTTGTTAATAAACAGAATGCTCACAGCTTGCATTTCATGTTGAATGTGCGTTTAATTTATGTCATTGCAGTTTTAAGAAAATCTGTGTTTAGTGCCAAGTTTACGTACCCAGGAGGTCGTTCTGAGGGATCCAGTCATATATTCTAGTGTTGGCACTCAAGGTTTCTGGTTTTTCTCCTATGTACCTCCACACCACCTATAAAAGGTAACATATTTCTTAGCTTACATGATTTGTTTGTTTTCTGTTGTAGTATACTTACAGCCACACTTTAGGCAATATATCACAAAATATTATGGGAAAATAGAACTGCAGTATGTGTTTCTAGTCAGCTGTTTTCTACCTGTCATCTAAAGCTGCATAATCGGAGTGATTTGGGTATAAAACTCTTTGAATGCTAATTTTAGATTTTATTTTAAAGTTAGATTTATATATATGTATTTACAAGATTGATGCAAGTTTTTTTTTTCTTTTTACCTGTTTACTGAAACCTGTTCTATTTGTAGTTATATCATTTACATCGACATAATCTGTAGACTCTCAGATAGGTATCTACATTCAAATTGGATGAAGGTTTTAGGAGTAGGGATGGGTACCGGTGTCCGGTGCCATGATGGCACCGGTTCTGACATAAACGGTAGTAACCAGACCGAAAAGCAGCGCACATTTCGGTGCTTTATTTCGGTGCTTTTTTTTCCTGAGCTGTGATACACTTCTAGCCAATCATTTTACGTTTCCGAGGATAGTAGGCGGGGCCAGGTACGTACGTTCTGTTAGAGCAGAGCTACAGATTAAAAATGTCCAAGGCGAAGCGGTCAAAAGTCTGGCTGTACTTCACAGCAAAAGATGCAAACTCAGCAGCAACAAGTGCTTTAAGCTGATACTGTGATACTGTCAAAGGAGGTAACACCTCGAATCCGATGAAACACCTGGCGACGCATAGCGTTTTTTTAAAAGCCGAGAAATGCGCCGTATTTGATAGCTTGCTGCGAGACCTCACACCGAGCACATCTACTGCGGGTGGGTTGCCTGTTATGCAACATCCCCCAAAAACACGAAGAGGAGAGTCCTGGCCCCTAGCCCTGCCAGTGTAGCAGAAATGATGACGGATGATGGTGGCAGCAGCAGCCGTTCTTCTCTGCGTGAGTAGCTTAATGTTGTTGTATACGTTGAGTAGGCTAACCACGTTATTACATTAATGCATGTAAGGTGAACTAGCAAACATCATCATAGCTACATGCGGCTGTCTCTTGTTTGATGGCAGATACTCCCTTCACCCTGGCTCAAAAAGGCTAAAATGACCAAAGAAAAAGTGGAAAACAGTTAAACATGAGAGGTTTAGGACAAAGTTTGTGTTTTTTCCATTGTTTAAGCACTGCTTCCAGCCAAGAGTGATACCATATATGCCCCATAGCTGCAGAAAAGGCTAACATTGTTATCTTTTTACAAAAAACAGCTGAACATGAGAGGTTTTTGGACCAATTTTGTGTTCTCCATTCTTTAAGCACCGGTTCGAGCACCGTTTGAGCACCGGCACCGTTTCAAAAGTACCGATTTGGCACCGGTATCGGATAAAACCTAAACGATACCCATCCCTATTTAGGAGTGTTTAGCTCCTTAACATGTGCCATGCTCTTTTTTTAAGGGGACCAAAAGTAATTGGACTAAAGGGCCATTTCATCATCAGGTGTGGGCAATTCCTTTGTTATGTCATTATCAATTAAGCAGATAAAAGGCCTGGAGTTAAATTTAAGGGTGGTGCTTGCATTTAGAAGATTTTGCTGTGAACAGTCAAAGGAATTGTCACGGTCCCGGTGTCTCTCTGGCTGGCCCACACTGGTTACAGGTTGGGTTTTTGTTTCTCTCTCTCTTTCCTCCCTACTGTCTCCTGCTTGCCTGGGCAGAGTTCAGAGTTACTGGGCTCTTGCCTTTGGCTCGCACCTTTCACACCTGGGTTTATTGCCACCACCTCCTGCTGATCTGTCCTGATCACTCTGGCGCTATTTAAGGGTAGGGCTCTGAGCACCTCATCGCTGAAACGTTGAACCCGCATAGTTCATGCTCTCTGCTCTGTTTTAAAGTTGTCTGTCTTTAACTAACCGTTGTTTCTTTAAATAGATTTCCCGGACCTGTTGGTGGACCCTTCCTGAGATTCCTGTGTGTGGCAGCGTGAGTGGAATTTGAGAGTGAGTGGTAGAAAAGGAGCGAGTGTGAGTGGAGTTTGAGCGGCAGTGCGTGATGGATGTAAAATTGGAGATGGCTGATTCTCACAAAGAACATGCAGCCTAAAATGTCCAAAGTCTGCAATCTCATTAAAACATGTAGTTTTGGTAGTTCTGGTTTTCAGAAGTAGAGCACTCTGAAACTGGTTATCTAAATCATGAAAAACTACTCCATGCTTTCAGGGTTTGAACAAACTGATTACAGTTGGCACAAAGATTATCCTCTGACTTTTTGTGGGATCTGAGCGAGGCCTGAGGCTATCATGTTTGCCTTCTCCTTGGTGACGTTGTAGATTACGGATCCTAAAGTGAAGATCACAATGCCATCATCTCCAGAACTCTGCACAAATTCCTCCAGATCCTGTAACAAGTCAAATATTATCCCACCACCAGCCAACCAGCTGTTTTCTCATTGCAACATTTTGATGGCTTCACTGCTCCTGGCAGGAATATTCTGTGATGTAATGATTAATCAAATGGTAATAGTTGAGTGTCCTTACCCCTGGTAGAGGTTTAGCAGGTCTGCAGTGGATCCCACCAACATATTTGAAGTTGGGGGGGAAAGGACGAGGGAATTCAAAATCCCAGTAGGTTCGGATTAACCAGATGTCTGCTTTACTCATCAACTCACAGGCACTGGTGGGAGTTCCTGTTGCAATGCATAAGTAATGGACATCAATGTATCACCAATAGTTTATACAAGGCATCATATTTTCTTAATCAGATCTGATGGGATATTAAAAAAAACTGCGTTTGCATTATTAGCAGATTTCAAATAGTTTTTTTAAATCAGCCTATTTGCTCACCTTTGACATCAGAGTAATATCTGTCTAATACGTTCCAAAAACATTAACATATCACCAATAGTTTATGCAAGAGATCATATTTTCTTAATCAGAAAATTTAAAAAAAACTGTGTTTACATTATTAGCAAATTTTAAATATTTTTTAAATCAGTGCTTCACGCCTATTTGCTCACCTTTGACATCAGAGTAATATCTGTCTAATACGTTCCAAAAAGTGTGATCAATCATGATGTCTTGGAGAGCGTAGAAGAGAAAGTTCCACACTCTCTCTGAGAAGTCCATCTTATCTGTGAGTTTGCTCATGGCACCGGGAACAAAGGATGGTGGAGCAGGCATCTGACCACAATGCCTCTCCCAGTTATTAGCTAAGGAGAAGCGCAAGGAGAAGATGAGTGGGATCCCCAAAATATCTGCTACTAAGTCACTGCCAGCTTTCCAGGGGTCAGCCAAGAGAAGGTCATAATTTCCCTCTTTCAACTTCTTCATAATGGCTTCTGATTTCACCACACCGTCCAAATACCGGATATTGTACTGAAGGTTTGTCTTTGAAATGTTAATGTATCTGATGTAGATCTTCCAGTAATTCATATAATCCATCTCGTATATGGAGAATTGGAGGAAGTCTTCTAGAAGCTTCTTATAAGCCTCCAATGAGAAAGAGACATTGAAGGGCTCATAGTGAAAGCGGGTGGGTTCATTGGTGTTCATGTATACTGACGAGCTCGGAATCAGTACAGTTACCTTGTGTCCCCTGTCAACCAGCGTCTCCAGAACAGGTTTCATGTTTATCCAGTGGCTGGCATCGGCGTACCACACCAAAATATTTCCTCCATTTGCACACGATGTTGCACAAAGTACCATCAGGACGCAGGCAGAGAGACGCAGCTCCATGGTGTCTGAATGTCAGCAGGATAACCAGCTGTGGTCTGATCCTTTGTAGAAGTATCACAGGAAAGATAATTATTAACTCAAAGGCAAACTTCACGTTTATGGGAATAAAGTTTATTGGAATAAAGTTCATGGGAATAAAGTTGACAGGACTGAAAAAAGCAGGACTGAACCGGTATGAGAAATCCACTAAGAAATTATTAAAAATGTCAGAGCTCGTTAACGTTAGTCGGGTAGAGACGGAGTGAAGTAATGCAAAACAATGGTCATTTCAACTGTATAGGCTTGTACACTGTTGCATAATCTGAGGAGGACCAAAATATTTCCCCTGTTTGCACTCCATATCACACAAAGTACCAACAGGATGCAGGCAGAGAGATGCAGCTCCATGGTGTCTGAATGTCAGCAGGATCATCAGCTGTGGTCTGATCCTTTGGTGAAAGTATTTTATGAAAGATAATTCTGAACTCAGTTAAGATGAACATTTACTCAATTCTGTCTGTGATTGTGTCTCTGAAGGTTCTCAGTCATCCAGGTCATCGTAGTCAAAGGAGCTTGCAAAGAAAAGTGTCTGGACTTCTTTAAGTTGCTTGAAGACGTTTCACCTCTCATCCACGAAGCTTCTTCCATTCTAAGGTCAAATGGTGGAGAGTCTCAGATTTAAACCTAGTGGAAGTATCCCCCCACAGAGGGACAAAAGGACCCCCTGATGATCCTCTAATCCCCTTAGCCAAGGTGTGAAACTGGGTGTGGGTCCCAATCAGCCAGGATTTCGGGTGAGCTCATTGTGAAACCTGGCCCCACCTTATCATGCAAATTCCTGAGGTCAGATGACCCAGGATGTGAGTCGGCGTTAAGGTGTCTGGGGAGGGAACTCAAAACTGGATTATAGATGGCAGACAGTTGGTCTGCCATCTATCTTGGCTCAGGCGATTAGAGGATCTTCGTTAGTTGCTTCACTCAACAGCCCGACTTTAGATGAATGATTCTGACAATCTAAATTTTCTTTCTTATTGAATGCACCTGCTGTGGAAAGTCGTACAAGGACTGTGCATGGACTTCCCCTGTACAGAAGGCGACTACAAATGTTACCCAGGCTTAATACACAGAAAAAATTATCCCTGTTGTCTTTGCTCAATGATTGGTTTAAGTGTTGACAATCCAAATTGCTGGCATTGCATCTTTCAACGTGTTTATGGGTAGATCTGAATGCACCAGGTTTAAGTGCAGCCACTCAGCCTCTACTCAAGGTGGTCATAGAACCAGGTGCAGATGGTCACTAGTTAATCTGGTAGTCGTATGGCACTTGGCCACAGGTGGTAGTAGTGGACTAAACTCCATTTGAGACTGCCCCAGCTGCTATGTGATACGTCAGTAGATCAGCTACAAATTGAAGATCATATGCAAGTTTTGGAAATTAAACTGTGAATATTCTTAACTTGGCTTTAAAACTAAAAATCTCTAAATCTCTAACCTCAAAACTAAAAACTAAAAAAAACACATGGCAAACCACCCGACAAATAAATACATAAACCCATTTCTTTGACCGTCACCAGTTAATTTACAATGCCAATTAATCTAGAACACCGGCCCTATTTCAACTTCAGCTGACAGTATCTCACTGTATATATTTTTTTAATGGAACAACACTGAAGATATGACACTTTGATACAATGCAAAGTAGTCAGTGTAGAGCTTGTTCAACAGTGTAAATTTGCTGTCACCTTTATATAACTCAACACACAGCCATTAGTGCCTAAACCCATGGCAACAAAAGTGAGTACACCCCAAATTGTACCCAATTAGCTATTTTCCTTTCCAGGTTTCATGTGACCTGTTAGTGTTACAATGTCTCAGGTGCAAATGGTGAACATGTGTGTGGGTGTTATTGCTCTCATACTCTCTCATACTGGTCACTGGAAGTCTAACATGGCACAACATGGCAAAGACTTCTCTGAGGATCTGAAAAAAAAAGAATTGTTACTCTACATAAAGATGGCCTAGACTATAAGAATATTTCCAACACCCTGAAACTGAGAAGCAGCACAGTGGTCAAGACCATAAGGCAGTTTAAGAGTACAGGTTCCACCCAGAACAAACCTCACCATGGTTAACCAAAGAAGTTGAGTGCATGTGCTCAGCATCATATCTAGAGGTTGCCTTTAGAAAATAGCTGTATGAGTGCTGTCAGCATTGCTGTAGAGGTTGAAGGCATGGAGGGTCAGCCTGTCAGTGTTCAGACCACATGCCACACACTGCATCAAATGGTCATTGTCCGAGAAGGAAGCCTCTTCTAAAGATAATGCACAACAAAGCCTGCAAACAGTTTGCTGAAGAAAAGCAGGCTAAGAGCATGGATTACCTGTGATCTGATGAAACCAAGACAAACTTATTTGGTTCAGATGGTGTCAGGGGTGTGTGGCAGAAACTAGGTGAGGAGTACAAAGACAGTGTGGCTTGCCTCCAGTCAAGCATGGTGGTGGGATGCCATTGTTTGGGGCTGCAAGAGTGCTGCTGGCACTGAGGAGCTACAGTTAATTGAGGTAACCATGAATGCTAATGTACTGTGACATACTGAAGCAGAGAATGATTCCCCCCCAAAACAGTGCCCTGTTAAATAAACTGAGGTTAAAGATACTTGACTGCCCAACCATGTCTACAATCTTAAACCCTATTGAACATCTGTGGGGCATCCTCAAATGGGAGGTGGAGGAGCACAAGGTCTCTAACATCTACCAGCTCCATGATGTCATAATGGAGGAGTGGAAGCGGACTCCAGTTTAGTTCCAGTTTAGACATCAATGGCTGTATGTTGAGTTATTTTGAGCAAATTTATACTGTTATACAAGCTGTACACTGACTACTTTACATTGTGTCAAAGTGTCATATCTTTAGTGTTGTACCCATGAAAACATATAATAAAATTTAAAAAATGAGAGGGGTGTACTCACTTTTGTGAGATACTGTATATAGCCACGTTACATTACATCGTGTTCAGGACGTGATAGCATGTAGTGGTTGCTTTTTCATATTAATATTAATTTTCATATTAATTTTTTTATCTTTTCATATTCTGAACTATCGTCAAAAAAATGAGTTTTAGGACACCGCAGCACTTTAAGTAAAAACTTATTCCTGTACTTTTCAACATGTTCATACAAAGGAAATGTTTACGAAATTTTGTCATCCAAATGTATCAGCTTGTATCAACCTCTTTCATAACATGATTTAGTGTTTTTTTTGTTTTTCCTCATAATTCATAATAACATAATTTATGTAAAATTTTAATTTGAACCTTTTATATCTATATGACTTTTGATGGCAAGGATGTATGCCTAGATTACTAAAAGAGAAACTTGTGTTACTCAGCTAAAGGCATAGAATGAATTTTCTTTTCTTAAAAAAATATACCCAACAGCCAATCAGCATTTGGTTTTTAATGTCAGATTAACTTCAGGTACATTTATGCAAATTAACACACTTGTAATTAGTTAAAGTAATCAGTGGTGATACATAAAGAATAAGATGGTGGGAAACTCAACATACATGAAAGAAAATCTCATGTAGGTAACAAATACTGCACTGGTCCCACATCTCTGTTTCAGTTCAGTCTGTTATTCAGCCTTCCTTTTCTTTTTTCCTTTCCTGACACAACACCTGTTCAAACAGAAACTGCAGGTCTTGATGAAGATGAATATGAGAAGTAGAACTATAGCGAGGATGAAGCCCAGGACATCCAGGCTGTGATACTGGTACCAGGTGAGCTCATGGGCCTGGACCCTCAAGTGCTTGGCCCCTTTATTTCTCAGTGTGAATTCAATCCAGAATACTGCCTCTTCCAGAGCACTCATGGGTCTGTCGTGGTGGATGCTGGACAGCTGCATAGCATTTTCTTTGTACCTGTGAATGTGTATATGAATTAAAAAACATAATCTGAATTGTTACATTTTTATTATTTTTTTCCTCTTTAGTTATAGAATTTTTACATGTAGCTTGACATATCAGGGCTAATAAAATAAGTACCAAATGATACAAAGATATACCTCATTACAGTTCAGGCAATTACAATTTTTGAGAACTAGTGAACAGCTGATAACCAGTCCTGATCCAAACGTCCAATACAAAAAAATAAAAAAATAAAAAAATAAAAATAGGCAAGGCTTCAGTGTAACACTCAAAACAGGAGAGAGCACTGCAAAATAAAAAGTCCTGTATAACTGAAGTGTTGTGCAGGTAAAAAACACATGAGTTAAATACGAGGTGGATGTGTTGCCACTGTTACACAGGTCAGGAATGTCGGGGTATATTTTAGATAGTCTAGATCAGTCTTTCTCAAACTGTGGTATGTGTACCACTAGTAGTACTTGGGTTCTCTCTGGTGGTACATGGGAAAGCTCCAATTTTTTTAAGATTAAATAATGTGCCATTGTGGAGGCTCCCGACGTTTTCGGGTTGACTCCCGAGGCTCTTCTGTGAGCCGGAGTGAACCAGAAAACGTCTCTCCAACCGCGAGTCCTCTGTGAAGAGCAGCCTTTCCTTATCGCCAGCGGTCACGGCAACTACAGAGCGCTGGCAGGCTTGTTTCCCTGGGCCTTAAAACTGCAAAGATGGAACGGCACTGATGGTAAAAACACAGCCCTTTTCCGCAGTGCCACAATCCTAGGTACAATCGATGAGTTTGAGAATCCGTGGCGCGGGAGATACCGTTGGTGAGTTGGGAACTATCACCTGGATGCCGAAGCTCTTGGTAGCCAGGAGAAGGCAACCTGCTTCTTCTGCGAGTGAATGGTAATCCTTTGCGACCAGCAGTGGGGAGTTGGCGAGGTCACCTCGCAACAGCAACTGTCGGAGGAAGAGGAATCCAACGTCATCCGTTCCTAGCAAGGGCAGCATGCCCTCCATGAGCTTGAGAGCTGTACCATCACCCAGGCCTGAGAGAGGGAGTTTATCAGCCCGCTCTGCATCGGAGAGGGAGTAGCACCACAGCAGCAGTGCCTTGAGAGGGGTGCATTTCCCTTGGGTGGGGGGGGGATCACCATCATCATCATGGAGGGTCATCACACAGCGGG